AATTCCACCTCTATTCCTACATCTAATATTACAAAGAATTAGATCAGAATTCGAATTATATATTTCAGCAAAATCGTATGGGTTCCACATTATTTCCACTTAGCACTTTTCGAACACATAAATACACATTTTCAACACTACCTCCATACCATCACCACCACTTTCCAAGTACTTTAGGATAAGGATGCTTAAAAGCGCACAATAATGGAACAAATTGTTTTCACCGAAACTTGACCGTGTTCTTAATAGGAAACAACACCAGTGGGTCGATTCAGTAACTTATAACGATCCGACAATCGACAATTTTGTCTACACATAAAATCGTTTGCAGTAACGAAAATGTTATTCTGTAAAAATGTAGAAATATTGTCGATAAACTTTCAAAAAGCTTTTAATTTTGAACATTTTGAAAACAAAATACATACAAATTCAGAACAAAACAAGGCATGTTCAATATTGAAAAATATTTGTCGATAAGTTAACTTCGAATATTTTGGTGTTGTTTATTAACAACATTTTTAACAATTGTTGTTAAAAACTGGTATTGAATTGATGTATTGTTTATTTTGTCGTTATAATATTTTATCGATTTGAGAATTGTTTAAATTTGATAGTGAATCGACCCACAGGAATATTTTTGAGAAAATTGTAGAAACGAAATTCTTTTTTTGGCAGACAACTTGAAGTTTGGATGTGAACCTATGTAACCTTAAACAACAACTTATTCAAATGTTAAATTAAAATCATGTTGATAAGAAATATGAGGATATATCAAATCCGATTAAAATATTTCACGATTTAGAGTTAAGATGTAAAACAGACACTTACAATTAAAAGAAGATATAAGGCGTCAACATTGGCCAAACTTTTCACATATATAATTCTACAACGGCAATCTGAAAATGAGTTAATAATTTGTTTAAAAATGAAATATACCTATATGAGCGGAAACCACTAAATTTTTATGCCAAATCTAAAATTTTTCGAGTTATACTGCTTTCAATATAAAAATCAAAAGGACAGTTGGACATGAGAAGGGAATAATAAGATAATGCAAAAACGTTGGAGCAATAACAAAATATGATTTTCTATTGAAAAAAAAAATGGTGTAATAAGTTCTACAAAATTTTAAACTGTTTTTTAAATGTTTTTTACCAACCTTATATTGATGCAATATTGGTAAGGCAAAACAACGTTTACCGGGTCAGCTAGTGAAAATATAAATTTATTTTCATATACAATAGTTTCTTCAAGGCAATAACAATCCCATTAATTGTAGAACATTAACATATTTTGATTTTCCGTAATTGACAATTACTTAGAGATATACGCTGCCCATTTTCACCCAAAATATGGCCAAAAAGAACTACGAAGAGATGAAACCATAAATGTTCGATATAAAATGTGTGGAAATGCTAACATCTTTCAAAATATATTTTGCAACATTTCCGCAGATTTTTCTTAAAATGTTCTTAAATAAAACCTTTCCACTTCAATTACTGACTACTAACAGAAACTTTAAGTGAAATCGGTCCAGCCGTTTCTTTAAAATAATTTCTGCAAGATTTTGGCGGATTTTCACAAAATTTTCTTTTATAAAAACCTTCTCACTGCAATTACCGACAACTGAAAGAAATTTTGAGTCAAATCGGTCTAACCGTTCTCAATTTATGCGTTAGTATAAATTTTTCTTGCTCCATTTATATATATACATATATATATATATAGATTGGGAACCTGAAAAAAATACAGCCCCATTTTGTGAAATGTATGTAATTTATTCTCGCTATATTTCTAAATTTGCATACGATGGAAAAATATAGTATTGGTGTTCTTTTTCGGAACCGGGTTTACAAATATGAATTGGCATTCGAATTTCAATCATATTAATTTAAAATAGTACTAATCGCGCGTTAACAATTATACATTTTCAAATCAAATAAATTGCAACAGAATTTTGTGACCCTTTGTTTATAAACTACTTCAATTTCCTAATGGGAACATTTGTAACAGCAAATCCTTTTGCTGTGAAAAATTGAAATTTTCAGCGATATTTTTAGCGTTTTTGCATGAGTTACATATGACAATGGTTCAACTGCAGGAAAGATCTGGAAAAGATTTTCATTAATTTTTTTCAATTTTATTCCGAAAATTCAAAAATATTATATTTTGAAAATAAATTAAACTTATTCATATTTCGTATGTTTTGTTAAAATTTTTCGACATATCAAACTGACACCAATCTTAAGGGCCCCATACACTATAAATCATGCCGTCATGCCGATGAACCCCTTTTTGTATATGTGAGATTGACTAGTGTATGGCAAACTCTTCAATCAATATTCCAAAAAATCGATTTTTGTCCCAAAAATTGCATTTTGAGTCGTAAATTCAGTTATTTTTTTATTCCGTCACAATTTTATTATTTTTGTACACAAAATTATTTACTGACAACTTTCAAAATGAATATTAAACGGCATATACATTAGAACTTTTTACGGGGTTAACCTACTTTATGAGGATTTATTTGACATATATGCAAAGGAATTGACAATTGAAACCCACTGGGTTAACGAAATCCGGTTAAATGTACACGTACTATTATTCACCAGATTGATAGGGTTCATTTTCAAAATCAAAACTATTTTGATTTTGTTCATGTATAGTGTATGGGACCCTTTACATACAATAAGTCTGTCTGTAACAATTGCTACTAAATGTTGTCTTTTTACACAAAACTTGAGAGAGCTATTTTGAATTTTGTTTTACAGAGTATTCAAAAATCTTACTGGGAAAATTTACTCAGTAAAGTTTTGTACAAGCAAAAAAAAAAAAACAAAAACAATGGATATGATTGTCACTCATGTATTTTTCAACAAATTTGAAATTTTGTACAAAATATTTGTTTACTTTTTGTAATTTTACTGTTTGAAGAAGAATAAAATCTCTTACTCTCACAAAAGAAGTTACTGAGTACATATTACTGGAAAAGGACGCAGAGATACCTAATAACAATGTTCTATGTGATTGTTGTTGAATTGTATTTATTGTGGCTTTGCAGTTACCTTGTATAATTGTACATACCATGAATAAAGCTTCATTTACACGATTGAAGGTTTCTTCAAAATGCTTCAAACTCGTGTAAACAGCTAAATTTCTTCAAAATTAATTGATCAAAATTTATTGAACAAAACTTTTGAAGATTTTATTGATGCCGTGTAAATAGGCATAAAATCGCGTCTGGCAATATTGATGACTAGAAATATTTTGACAGCATGTTCATTCTATTGATCAATACATATCATATGTTTTTATTTACACATTTTTGTTGCGGCAAGTGACAATGGAATCAAATTACTTACGAATTAAATTATAATTAATAAATTAATATGAGATGGTAAGAGAACGTCAGACTTGCATAGCTGTCCCCAGTCGCTAAAAATCTCAATGTTATTGTCAGGCGTTCTCCGGGGCATATAGATTCCCTAATATTAGTATTGGCCTTTTCTATTAATGGGGTGTCTAGTTCAAGCAAAACATCAAAATCGTGTGGTGACATTCTTGCAAAGTTTTTGTATAGTTCGGGATCATTCCGTTTTAATCGCTCTCTAAAAAAACATACACAACATCACCTTCCAAAAGAAAAGGCCGAACCCAATATTGCTTTTGTTTTCTTCTTTTTTCATTGTTATCAGCTCCTCCATTATTAAAAAATGCTGATGGACGTGTCGTCGTCCATAGTTATTAATACTAAACTATTTCTCAAAATAATCAAATCAGCTGTTCAAAGTCAATATTTTGTCAATATTTTCAAAATTTTGATAAGACTTCAAAATGCCTTCAATCGTGTAAATGTAGCTTAGCCCTGTAACATTTATATTGTCATCTCATTTATTAAAAATGTTATAGGGGTTAAAGGCATGGTATAATAATAGAAGGTAACACAAGTGTTGTTGTACAACAAACGATACAACAACCACATGGAAATTTGTTTTTGTAAGTTATACTAGCGTCAACGTCATTTGACAGAAAAATGTAAACAAATAAATAAATTATATTTATTTTGAAAATGAAATATTTTCGAATCCTCAAAAAAAATTTGAAAAACATGAATGAAAATCTATCAAATTTATATTTCTATCGCTTCCACATCTTTCCTATAATTGAGCCATTGCCACTTAAAAAACTAGGGATCTTACGCGGATATTGTCCGCGGAGTGAAAACACTTCTGTATTGTTTTTGGTGCATTTACACACTAATTTATTAATATAAAAAGTGTTTCTTAAGAACTAATTATTACAATATGACTTAACCTATCTTAGACTAATGTGTAAAAGAGAGAGAGTGCATCTGCCATAACACATGGAGTGGACTCACACAATTCTTTATCTCAATGTGGCAAGCACGCTACACATACTTATCAGTCTGTGGTGAAGATTACTCCCCGTAATCTCACCCAAACATACCACATGTGGCAATAGAAAACTCCTATCTTATTAATGTGTACAAACATTTTACCAAAATAATTTCTTATCTCAAGTGGACTGTAGACAAAAATAGATCCCTGTTTAACTAAATGTTCTCTCTTCTACACAAGAGACCCACAGCAAGACATTCACTATCATTATTATTTAAAAACCATGTTCGCTACGTGAACACCACTTATATGTGTAACACATATGAAAATGCTGGGAATTGCGAGTTATTCCATGAAGAAAGATTTGCTTCCTCAAACTTTCCCAGCAGGCAGATTGAGTAAATTCAATACGGGAGCATATTTAATAAAGAAAAATTTCAAATTGTATGCGTTCCCAATTTTTCTGTTGGGTGATTTTTAAAAACATAATTTGTCAAATCATATTGACACTAGTATTACGTTGGAATCAAATCAGCTGGGATTTGCTTTTACCTTTTATAATTGTACCATGGGTTAAAGGGAGGAATTTACCTACATGAATACACTTTTGCTCGCCACTGTATATTTATATATTAATGAATTGGAATTATTTTTTTTATTTTAGAACTGAATAAAAATCCTGTTGAAGGATTTTCAGCTGGATTGATCGATGAAAACGATATATTCAGATGGGAGGTACTTATTATAGGCCCCCCGGATACACTTTAGTAAGTATTTGAAATTAAAGTACGGACCAAAAATCCACATTTTGTAACATTACAGGAAAAAATAACTTATTATTATTTTAATTTACCAATGTTTTGAGACAGTTTAATAAAAGTTGTTACCCGTATTAGATTTCGTTCATTTGCTACAAGAAAACTTGATTTTGCAGAAAATGTGTTTTTTAAGCTTCTCAATCAGAGTGTGTAAGAGATATTTATCTGATTTTTATCTATGGAACAGAAGTATAATTTTACGTAAAACATATCCACAATAACCACCAAAAATAGATGGGCTAATTGAATTCTAATGCTCTTAGCTTGAGCCATATCCAAAGAATACAACATTCATAAAATAAAGTTTACGTGAATACCAAAGAATTTACATGCACATCAAACTACTATCAAGAAACAAACCAAGAGATTTCCTAGAACTTACAACATTTATAGAATTATTATATATGGAAACATTAACTGAATTCTCTTGCAAGTATTAATTGATTAACCACGTTAGTAACACATAGAAAACTGTAGAAAAAAATCTTCATAACCGGTGTTCGTTATATAAGTACGTACGCTTCCGTACTGCAAGAATTAGAAAGGAACATTTGTTATCGTAGTAAAAATATACTTATTTGCAATACGGAAACAGCCATACCAAATTTGTGGTATTAATAGGGAGACTCGTGTATACAATCGATATTGAAAAAATCCTGTGGGTCGATTCACTATCAAATTTAAACTATTCTCAAATCGATAAAATATAACGACAAAATAAACAATATTTCAATTCTATAACAGTTTTTAACAACAATTGTTAAAAATGTTGTTAATAAACAACACCAAAATATTCGAAGTTAACTTATCGACAAATATTTGTCAATATTGAACATGCCTTGTTTTGTTCTGAATTTGTATGTATTTTGTTTTCAAAATGTTCAAAATTAAAAGCTTTTTGAAAGTTTATCGACAATTTGTCTACATTTTTACAGAATAACATTTTCGTTACTGCAAACGATTGTATGTGTAGACAAGATTGTCGATTGTCGGATCGTTATAAGTTACTGAATCTATTCCAGTGGGTCGATTCACTATCAAAATTAAACAATTCTCAAATAGATAAAATATTATAACGACAAAATAAACAATATTTTAATTCTATAACAGTTTTTAACAACAATTGTTAAAAATGTTGTTAATAAACAACACCAAAAAATTCGAAGTTAACGTATCGACAAATATTCTTCAATATTGAACATGCCTTGTTTTGTTCAAAATGTTCCAAATTAAAAGCGTTTTGAAAGTTTATCGACAATTTGTCTACATTTTTACAGAATAACATGTTCGTTACTGCAAACGATTTTATGTGTAGACAAAATTGTCGATTGTCGGATCGTTATAAATTACTGAATCGACCTACAGAAACTTTAAGAATCGAAAAATTATTAGTTTTTTGTAGTATATATATATATATATATATATATATATATATATAAGAAGTTCCAATCCTCGCATTTATATAAATTATATTGCCCAATTAATGTTAATATTTGAAGACTGTTAATATTTCTATTCCAGAACCTCTAAGAATCGAAAAATTATTAGTTTTTTTTAGTATATATATATATATATATATATATAGAAGTTCCAATCCTCGCATTTATATAATTTATATTGCCCAATTAATGTTAATATTTAAAGAAGTTTGAGTAGATTCAATCCCTCTCTTTTACATTAATTTAATTTTTGTTCTATTTTTATTAATTGGGTACTAACAAACCCAAATAGTAAAAATAATAATATTTTTAAATTTTATGTATATTTATATTATAATATTGTTTTGAGCAGTTTAACATCCCTTTTAGAGTAATTTTAATTATTTTAAACATTTTTTTTTTGAGTAGTTTATAAATCCACCATATTGCGTTTCTAAGTTGTTTTTAAAACATTGGCACTACTTAGTTAATATGATATAATAAGGTGAAAGAAAATCTGTGAAAATTTCAACAAAAACAAAAAAAACCTACAAATTGTTAAGTACATGCTGGCTTAAAAATACGTGATAGATCAAATAAATGATGATAATTAGTTATTTTTTCCAGTAATTATTTGTTTTTTGTTATAATACAATTAATAATAATAATTCTTTTTATTAAATTGTACAGTGAAGGCGGATTTTTCAAAGCTCATTTATATTTTCCTAAAGAGTATCCGTTACGCCCACCTCGCATGAAGTTCGTAACGGAAATTTGGCATCCAAATATCGAGAAAAACGGTGATGTTTGCATTTCGATCCTTCATGAACCTGGAGATGATAAATGGGGATATGAAAAAGCTTCCGAGCGTTGGTTGCCAGTACACACAGTTGAGACAATTTTGATATCTGTGATATCGATGCTCGCAGATCCAAACGATGAGTCTCCAGCTAACGTAGATGCTGCCAAGGAATGGAGGGAATCTTATCCTGAATTTAAGAGGAAAGTAGCCCGTTGTGTTAGAAAGAGCCAGGAAGAATGCTCGTAGAACTCGCTTGTATTTGTATATTTATAATTACGATTTGATACCAACCTATAATGAGAGAAGAAAAGAAAACAAAAAAACATGATGAATCTAATTTCCCTTTCATACTTTTAATTTTTGCATTGCAATTTAGAAAGCTCTTTTAATGCATTATTTATTTCTATAAAATATAAAGTGTTTTAAGTTTTGAAAATTATGAATACTTCATTGCCAATTTAGAAAAAATATTTAAGAACACCAATTTCAATAAATCTGTTTTAAATCCTTTAAAATAAATTTAGTTTATTATTTTGCGGAATGGCGTCAAGCCTTAAAAAACAAATTGTATTCTGGTAATTACAAAGCAAGGTTTATTCACAAGGTTAACAAGGAGGCGAATTCGAAATCTTCATTGTCTGTCAAATTTATTATTTGAAGAATAAATAAACAAAAAATATTTTTATTCGAACCAAAACAAGGTTTATTGATAAAGTTAACCGGCAGGCGAATTCAATTCGTGATGTAAATGTTGACAGCGAGAGAAGATTAAGCCATGAATTCGCCTGACGTTTCAAAATTGAGGCAAATTCTTGTTCAATCAATAAATTGCCTATTAAATAAGGTCTACCGGGTGACGAACTCATTATTTAGTATTTTCTTGCTGTCAACTTTTTAATCGCGAAATACAAACCAAAACAGGATAAAAACTCAAAATATATTTCACAAACACGTTATTATAGTATTGTGTACGTATATTTTGGTTCCAATTAAAGTGTTTTTGGTTTATTTATTCTTCAAACAATAAATATGACAGTCAATGAAAACTTCGAATTCACCTCCTTCTTAACCTTAACAACGTTACCTAAAATTCAACGAAGCGTAAAATATTCAACATCCCCTCTATGGCAAAATGTTTTGTACGGCCGTATTACCCAAATACGTCGAATCCATTTCTCTTAACGAACTAAACAAAATTGCGAAATAAAATTAAGAAATTATAAAATGTGTTCAAATATTTCATATTCTTTTTGAAAAAATTGTATTTCTTTATATTTTGTTTATTTTTTAACAATAGAAAAAAACAAAACTACGTTTTTTCATAGTTGAATTTTTTCAACTTTGAAAATTCGTACGTCGACGTATTTCGGTAGCATTCATATAAATACATGTGTTCTACTTTTGTGGTGAAAAACGTCGAACGAGCTAGCTGAATTCTAGGTAAGGCTGTAAAGGGCCCCATACACTATACATCATGCCGTACAGCATTTATCATAGTATGTGTTATTTTTTGAAAGTCTATTTATGTATGTGTGACACACACAACCCAGTAGTTCGAGTAACTGGTTATGAACTGGTTATTTTACTAATTACCTGTAACTACCACTAGTTACCACTTCATGCCCTAGACTGGTGAATTTAACATGGGTATGTCATTGAGGAAGTCAATTGTTCCCTGCCAGTTACTTGAGTAGATAAAGCTATAAATCAAATGCCTAGTTACTTATGTATTGAAAATTATATGTACAGTATTTTTCGGTTAATTGCACATCAAAATTTGCACAAATTTATGTTCAATTAACCGAGTAATCAATTATCCGAACCCGGTTAATTGAATAGTTTGTTCAATTACAGTAATCACGTATAATTGGAACTACTAATGATTAAAAAAAATCCAATGTCAAATACAAATTACGCTTTCTCGCGGATTTTCCTTAGCAATAAACATATGTTTTGAATTAGTGAGATGCCACCTAGTCTTTTTCAAAAATTATGTCAAATATGTATGTAAAAAATGGCAGATTATTTTTCAATTATTATTATGCAATTAACCGGTGAAAAATAAAAGGAAATTTATTTTTAATGACATGAATTTTGAACCAATTAAGCGGGAAAATCAATTAACAGGGTTTAATTATCCGAGAAAATTTACATGTATTTTCCTATGAAATATTTTTTGCCCCATCATGTGGTTCAATTAAACGTGGAAACCAATTAACCGAAAAATACTGTATAACAGTTTGAAAAATTACAATTTATTCATACAAAAATCTTTTTTATAACAGAGTATTGTATACATATATATTGTTTGATCCATCTGAAAGTCCCTAGTACACGATTTTTTTGTCGGCCGAGTGCTTTTCAAATATGACTCCCTGGCTAAATAGATTATCTGAAATACACGATTTAGAAACAGTTGAAGTTAGAAGTCCTACATAAAGCTTTTTTGTTATAGAAAACTTACCTATAGAAAATCGGCAGTGTACCCCTTGAGCATTTAGTGATGCGTTGATGACCTCTATGGAGCGACACCTCTTCCTGTATCGCTATTAAATGTTCACAGAATGCATGTCAATACTTCTATAGGAATGTATTTAGAATCTGTGGGGGCTTCTGAAGAAAATCAAAATAGTTTTGATTTTAAAAATGAACCCCTATAATAATATTCATTTTGAAAGTTGTCAGTAAATAATTTTGTGTACAAAAATTATAAAATTGTGACGGAATAAAAAAACAACTGAATTTACGACTCAAAATGCAATTTTTGGGACAAAAATCGATTTTTTGGAATAGTGATTGAAGAGTTTGATGTATAGTGTTTTGGGCCCTTAAGGGCCCCATACACTACCCAGTAGTTCGAGTAACTGGTTACTAGATATTTTACTAATTACCTGTAACTACCACTAGTTACCACTTCATACCCTACACTGGTTAACATGGGTATGTCATTGGGGAAGTCAATTGTCCCCTACCTGCGTTACCAGTAACCAGCAATTTCGGTAGATACCATTGTTTAGTATTATTCCTAGTTACATATATATATATATATATATATATATATATATATATAGAAAATTAGCTAGTATAACAGTTTGGAAAATTTTAAATCTATAAGTTATTTTGAATACATATTTTTTTATTTATTTCAGAATTATGTTGTACAATATATATTTTGAGCATGACCATATCTGATTTTTCACACCGCCATTTTGCTTATTCTTTTGTCTCTCGACTGTTTTTCACATCTGTCCTCTACGAAATATTTAAGCATCTGAAATAGATAATTACAAAAAATAAAGATATGGGTCTCTTAAGTATACGCTTTTGGAGAATATTTACCTGTGTATTTCAAGCTTTTATTTGTTCCCTCAATCTCTTGGATGTTTCTGAATTGACATCTATTTAAAGTCTGTTATTTTTGAATAAAAGACACATTATTATTAAACTTTTGCTTTCACAATTCAAAAAATTTTAAGGTCTGAAGGAAATGACAATTGTTTTTTCAGTTTTGCTTTTTTCGATTCATTACTTTTCGCATACCAGTAATTTTCATTACTTTTCGCATTACCAGAAATAGAAAACGTTTTCAATCGACAAATGAAGTCAATAGTATTTCTTTTGTTCTATTTTTGGCTATAAAGTAACTAGATAACATAGTGACTAGTTATATAACTATAGATAAGCAGACAATTGATATTTATTGAACAACTGGGTATAAATCATGCCGATGAACCCCTTTATATATAGGGTGTGGCAAACTCTTCAATCATTATTCCAAAAAAATGATTTTTGTCAAAAATGAGTCGTAAATTCAGTTATTTTTTATTTCGTCACAATTTATATATATGTATACTCAAAATTATTTACTGTCAACTTTAAAAATTAATAAAATTCACTGGATTGAAAGGGTTTCAATTTGAAAATCAGAACTATTTTGATTTTCTTCATGCATTGTGTGTGTCACACACACATAAATAAACTTAAAAAAATTACACATATGATAAATGCTGTACGGCATGATCCAAGCTAACATTTGGAAGATCGTTTTTGAAAAAAAACACCCTAGGGAGTCTTTAAAGATAGACTCAGATTGACGACGACCAAAAAGGGACTCGAAAATGACTCCTTATGATTAATAAGAGTTTAATTTAAATTACAACAAAATGTATAGCAGTTGCAAAACAATCACCAATGTGTGTAAAATATGAGTATTTTTTTCGTTGTTTATCATCATATTTTGATCATCTGAATATTAAAAAAGGCTTAATCAAAAAAAGAGCATGCAGATGTTTCAATAGTGATTAGAATTGTGTATTCTTTGATCACATTTTGCACAGAATGGTGATTTACAAATGCTTGTTTTGTTTTGTTCTAAGCAAAACGAGAACTTTTTTGAATTTACTGGAGTAAATAAAAAATGTTTCATTTATGCTCATTTACAAAAGTTAAGTGGAGGAGTTAATATCAATTTTTGTTTAAGAGAAACAAAAGTATTAAAAGGTAAGATAATGTGATTTGATAACTAATGAACTAAATAAATGAAACTAACGCAATCCATTATAACATATTTCCAGAAAGATTTTATTGCAAAAAGCGGTGGTGATGGACCTGCTCAATTTGTTGGAGCTGCAGTTCGAAAGGTGTTCACAGATGACTTAGCTACGCAATACAGCTGGAAGGGAACCTGATCTGAAAATGGTTTATAGTAACGGCAATCAAAAGTAAGTTCACATTTTTTTAACCATATAAGGTTTTATTAAGAAGAAAAATATATATTTCGTTTCAGATATTTGCCATATTAACTAGCAATGATAAAGAAGTGAACCGTATTCCTCAAAAACATTTTCTACACACAAAAGTCAGAGTTGTTTTGCTTATTTAGTTATATAAAATGAATTAATTTAATTATTTTTATTTAAATGTTTATTTAAACATTAAAATCGTAACTTAATATATTTATTTTTATTCTACGGACACCCGTATATTTGCAAATCACGTACGTGATTTGTAAAATCGTAACCTCTCATCTATGACTGATAAACGGCTCGAAATTTAAACATAAATGGGTCAAAAAAGAATCCTGAATGAATATTTGAATGAGTTATATACGATTATAAAAAGACTCATAAATGACACAATTAGCACTAGTAATAGCTTAAAAACTTACTTAAAAAAGACTGGAAATAGAGTCTCAAATTAATAAAAAATGGATAAAAAGTGTTTGAAACTTGATTCGAAAAAGACACCTAAAATATTAGAAAGAGATTAAAAATG